TCTCTACAAAAAAATTTTAAAAATTAGCCCAGTGTAGTAGCATGCACCTTTATTCCCCGCCACTCAGGAGACTGAGGCAGGCAGATCATTTGAGCCCAGGAGTTTGAGGCTGCAGTGAGTTATGATCACGCCACTGCACTCCAGCCTGGACGACAGAGCAAGACCCTATCTCTACAGGAAAAAAAAAAATGGCTTTGATGGGTTACCCTAAGTGGTAGATCTGTGGTGCGAAGTACAGCTCAGTCAAATGATACACTTTTTAGTCTGCTCATTCAGAAATGACAGGAAATTGCAGAAGTCAGGAAGTCTATGGCATTTATACCTTAATATAATAATTAATTTTAACATATTTCACTGCCCATATTCATTCTCTCTGCAAAGAGGAGCCGCTCTTACTGCATGCTGCTGGATGGCTTTAAAAGGTTGTTCTCTTTCTTGTTCCCCTGTAACCTAACACTCATGTGCTGACACCCAAGATCTTTTGCTAGAGAGTGGAAGTCAGCTGTTTAGAACTCAAGCTACATGTCAATCTTCAATCTCTGGGCCTTCCCCTAAACAAGCATGTTGTGCAGTAATGGCAAAACCCAGAGGTCAGCTCAGCAGATGGAATTACACATGGAACACGAACTCTGAAGAGGCGCTCCAAGAGAACATATCACTGCCACTCATCTACTTTTATTCATTTATTTATTTATTGAGACAGGTTCCTGTTCTGTTGCCCAGGCTGCAGTGATCAGAGCTCACTGAAGCCTTCGCATCTTGGGCTCAAGCAATCCTCCCACCTCAGCCTCCTGAGTAGCTGGGACTAGCGGCATGCACCACCATGCCTGGCTAATTTTTTTTATTTTATATTTTGTAGAGACGAGAGTCTCGCTATGTTGCCCTGGCTGGTTTTCAATTTCTAGGCTCAAGAGATCCATGGACCTCAGCCTCTTGAGCAGCTGGGACTACAGGCGTGAGCCACTGTGCTGGCCTCATTCCACTTTCAGATATCAATATTTCAGAAATTGCACTTGAAGATCTACACAATGGACTCACAAACAGGTTGTGGGCAGAGTTCCTGAGTACACCAGGCCTAATTAGCCAAAATGGCAGAGTGGATCAGGCTCTGAAGCCAGACGGCTAGGTTCCAATCCTGATCCCTGACAGGCTGTGCAGTCTTTAAACTCTGTGTGCCACATGTTCTTCACCTGTTGAACGAGGACCTTTCTCATTATGATGTGAGGACAAAATGAGATAACACAGAAGAAAAGCTTAGAACAATCAGCCCTGGCAAAAACTAGGTGTTCAAATGTTAGCCATTATTATTATTATCAAATAACCTACGGGGAAAAGAAAAGAAAAACACTGTATTTATTCTCTATACTACATTTTTATGTAGCTATATGAAGTTACTCTGATTTGCTTTCCTAATATAAGATTATGTCTTTTAAAAACATTCGCCAGCA